TTAGCACAAAAAACCTCACCACATTTCTTGTTGCAGGCCACATAAAAATGGCTATTTGATAACTGTATAGTCAGGGCAAAATGTGTGTCTATTTATCCAACATACATGCTACCGTGTACACCACTTTGAAGTTTTGTTATTTTTTTGCAATCAACTGGTGTATTAATATTATGAAATAAAAATGTTAAATTATTTTCATTATTGTTATGTATTAATAGTTCATTTTCTTTTTAGGACACCTTCTTCATTACTAAGGCTTCATGTTCATTAAGAGCATGCTTCAGTGTTTTATAGCACTGCATAAGAGACCTGGACAGATACATGTTCCCTTCCACTGGGGTAGCAAGTATGATGCTGTTGTTGAACTTCAACTTACATCAGCCTAACCAGCAGGGCCAATGTTGTTGAACTTCAACTTACATCAGCCTAACCAGCAGGGCCAATGGTCAGGGATATGGGAAGTTGTTGTCCAAAACCATTTGGAGCACATCAGGTTAGCTACCCCTGTTGTAGGCCTTTTCCATATTTTTGTAGCTACATAACTATAGGGATTTGATGTAAGCCACCAGATGGATAGATTAGTGCTGCATGTGAGAAAGCAGTCTCTCATTAAGCCAGCAACTATGCAGCTTCTTGTTGACGTATGTACATAGAAATCGCCTAAGCATGTTATGATGTGGTCTACCTCCTTCCTTCCTTATTAGTCACTAGACACAGGGCTTTTTTTCAGCCAGAGCTCACTGGAACTCAGTTCCGGCACCTCTCAGGTGGGCGCTATTGCCATTCTAAGAGAACAAAGGAGAAGTCCGTGGTGAGCTCTGGCACCCATTTTTCTAGAAAAATTGCACTGACCAGACATAGATGACGGCAGCGATCAGTCTAAGAAAATGGGAATGAAGGGTGGTAACTTACCTGGGAATAAGCACCATTGAAGGTTGCAAGTAGACTTACTGATGAGTGGTTAGGATTGTGTTGTGAATTGCCTTTCAGCTATCTCAATATTGACTGCAAAGTCAGTTTCTTAATTTGTAGAAGCTTTTTAAACACTCTTATGATTTTCCTTTCACACATAGAAAAAAGCCTCCTTTCTCTGTAGAAACACGGCCTTTTTGAAAGCATTATGTGGAATTCTAGGAAGACATCAAAGATGATGTAGAGTTATTGGATGAAACTGAACTGGAAGCAGGATTTAATGAAATCTTCTGAAACTCCTGGCTTTGTTTTTATTTATGGGCCTTAGTGACCTGTTAACCCCCTAAACCAACCAGGCCCTGATTTTGGAATAGGAAGATGGCGAGGGCCATACTATAGCTACATTTCTTGCAATTTTTAAAGGGGAACATGGATGCTGAAATTAGCCCAGGTGACACATATGGATGACGGGAAGTCTAACCTTCACTTATTGTAAAAGTTGCAATTGTATTGGTAAGCACTCCCAGATGTGCAAATTTAATAAAGTTACAGCTTAGGAACAGAACTTTGTTTTTGTTTCTGCAGTGTCAGTCACCGCTGTAGTTCTAGATTGCCTGGATGATCAAACTAGAGATTTACTGTTATTCTCATTGCTCATGATGATGTAGAATTTGCATAGAACTGAATTCTAGGTAAAGAACAATAACAAGTGATAAACAAACCACAGAAGATCTCATAGCTTAATTCAGATTTTTATCATAACTTTGGGTGCTGATCTTCACTGAGTTTCTTTGTGCTGCAGAATGTTTCTAGCACGGGTTTCAATTCCTGTTCCTCATTAGAAGCAGAAATATCGTCTTACTTTGGAGAGCGAAATACTCCATTTAATTCGAAAGCATAGTGGATTCCTAACCATCTGAATAAAAAATGAATTATAAGATTGCAGCTATTATGGTGAAAGCATGAATTTTGAGTACATCATGAGAGTAGCTCAACTCTCCAATTCCTGTTCAAGTCACTCAGCCAGCTAACATGCACAGTATGTTAGGAATGAATGTGTTTGACTGCATTCAGTATACAAACTGTGATGTATACTCTAGGAGCAATAAAACACAAGCCAAGTGTCATGGCTTTACACAAAGAGCTAGAAAGCTGCCTTATACTGAATCAGACCATTGGCCCATCTATAGCTTAGTACTGTCTGCACTGACTGGCAGTGGCTTTCCGGGGTTTCAGATAGGGGTTTACCGCAGGCCTGGGACCTTTTGCATGCAAACATGTGCTCTTACCACCAAGCCTTTTTCTAAAGCTCATGAGGCAAAGAATCAGGTGCTGAGAGTTCCAATATTAATGTAATCACCTGTGCTGAATACTAAAAAGAGTCTGGCCATCATAGCAGAAGTTATATGAGTCCAACGTAATGCACCTAATATTTGTCACTAGCAATGATTTCCACTGAAATTGCTATTGACAAGCAGCATAGCACAATTTACATGCTCCACTTGCCTGCTGCAGGATGCTACTGTTGCTACATTGATGCCAGGTGCACGATGCCTAATTTCAGCAATATGTGTCTATAGGATCGAGACAATATAATTGGCAATCATTTTCTGATGTTTTCTTTCCAATAACCATGTGAAGCTGTAGAGGCCAGAAATATGGTGTCCTTGCCCCCTAGTCACCTGAGCTTGGCTGAGCAGATTGAAACCACGTTTCCTCATAGCTAGGCCTCACAGGCAGCTCCTGGCTTTCAGACATCCCCACTCCGTTGTGGTCTGGGAAGTGACAAGTCTGAACACAAATATTGGGAAATTTCTCCCAAAGGAGGGATTGCATGGCTTTACAGAGTGACCTTGAGAATGGCAAGATAAGATCTACTTGTTAGTTATCTTAAAGATGGGCAATAATAAGCATGCTGTTTCTTTCTTACGGCAGCTTTCACAATAAAAATTTCCACTTTTGCAAGGCTTTTTTATATGCATAAGGTAGGTATTTCTGTTTTGGTTTTGACTCGAGTTTTAAGGTGTGCACATCGGTGGACCTATTCAAAAGTCCTAAGAATGAATAATCAATACGCACAACTTGCAGACTTAACATATAGAGTAAGAGAACAAGAAGAACATACGTTTAAAGAAGATTGGAAAACGTTTGTGGAATATATGGGAAATAATTATGTACAGCTGAAAATGCTGGTAGTATCAAGATAAATTCAACAGTGTAAATAAGTTTTGATGGATGCAATAAAGGAATACTGAATGGTATAGTTTTTGTAAAATATTCAGGGATTTATGATAAGAGAAGAAGGGAAGTCATTGATACCTTAAGGATGCAGAATGAGTATTTTAAATTGTAAAACAATATATATATATATATATATATATATATATATATATATATATGAATAATCAAATATCAGTTATTGCCTAACTCCAAAAGTGAATTTATTAACAGCTAAAATGTTTAATATGGGGGCCAATGAAATTTGCACCATCACCACCCACCCTGACTAAAAGGCATTTTTGAATGCTGCTGTCATAGTTCCTGCTCTGATGAGCTTTTTTTGGGGGGAGGGGGTAGTTGTTAGATTTCAAAATTACATTAATGTCTTGTATGTATTCAGAAAGCACCTACCTAAATGTGTTCAACATAGAACAAAACTTTAAAGTCATGAAGTGGTTCAAAAGTGATTTGTTATTACACCGAATCCCCAATACCATATAAAATATGTAGTTTCTTATAAATAATGAACCAATCCCTGTGAAACGTCTAAGTCTAGAAAAATGTTGCTTAAGAATATCAATCATCTTAATGATGAAACTCATTAATGATGAAACCACTAGTGTGAAAGTGATGCTACATGCTCTGAAATCTGTTTTTAATTTTTTTTACAAGGTAAATTAATTTTTGAAGTTGACATGGACATGTTGTACATATAAGCTATTTAGCAATGTGTTAAGGGCAGGACTGTTTTCTCAGTCTACTTCTGTGTTAGAGCCTCTTCAGGAGAGAGAGCAGGGAAGAAAAGAACCCTCAGATCTTTTAGGCTGTTCATGCTGAGAAATTACATCTAAAAGAATATATTCAGTGTATGGATGCCCCATTAGGTTTAAATTTAGCAAATCATGATAACCTCTTGAGGACCTGAGTAGATCAAATAATCAATGGTCTAAATCCAGCGAACTGCAAGCCCCACCAAAGGCTGGTGCACTTACTTCTGCATTTGTGATTTAAAAGGCTGGAGCTACAAAGCAAGGACATTTCATTGCAGGGTTCAGGTGGTGGGGTCTGAGCATGTCAAAACTGCAGTAAACACAGGACAAGTGCTTGGGATTTAAACAGGCCACAACTTTATTGATTAGATGTCCACAGGTTTTGGCATAGGTACTGGGTGTCAACCCCAAGCCAACCAATCCATCTGCTGGTTGATTATTTTGCCAGTGTTAACTAAGGTTGTGGGTCACCTTATGATGCACACCAAATCAGGGCGACTTGTTCAAGATCACCTTGGTGGAGCCATGACACACCAGCCCCTGTCTGAATGGATACAGTGGCAGATCTTGGGGTCTCAAATTTCAGTAGTGCCCTGTAACAACCTGAGGATCTAGATGAACTGAGAAGACTGCTTTACCAGAACCCTTATCACTGCCTCGTTGCCAGACTAGAATAACACCCTGAAGTTGCGGAATAAGTCAAACCAAAAGTGGATGGCTACCAGGATGGGGACGAATTCCAGGAAGGTGAGATTGTGTGTGATCCCCTGCTCCCAACAATGATCAAATCATGGCCAGGAGCAACAACAACCCCTGAAACAGACCCCCAGTCCCAGACTGCTGGAGGCATCAGAACGTACCTGGAAATTGTGGGGAGTTCCTGTAGGTCCTGCCAGAAGGAAACTCCATTGTAGGCCTCGAGGAAGGCCAACCAGACCTTGAAATCTTTTTTTACCACCTAAGTCAGTGTTAGTTGATGGTGAGATGCAAGGGTGGTAGACAGATACATACAGGTACATCCATAGACCCATGGAATTGTGGAACTGGAAGGGACCCCAAGGGTCATGTACTCCAACCCCCTGCAATGCAGGAATCATTTGCCCAATGTGGGCTTGAACCCACAGCCCTGTTATCACAAGTCTCATGCTCTACTGACTGAGCTATCTCAGCTAATAGAAAGCATTGCGACATAGAAATAGTGAACAATTTATTGAAAATATATTACATTTCTGAAATATTATCATCTTGTGATTTTAAAGAAACTCTGTTATAGAACAGATGCTGTTGCAGGGGAGAAGGCCTTTGGTATAGCATACAATTCTTTTCCATCAAAGTGTTTTAAACTAGTACATTATATGCACACCCAGCTATCAAAAGTTGCGTAGAAAACCAAGTCCACTCTGTTCTGGGTCAGCTTACTCCAAAGACCAGATCAGGTGGAGTTTATCAAATTTCTCCCACAGCCCACCCAGCATATGCACTGAAATCCTAAACAGTATTGCTCAAATGCAAGTTCATTATTTTCACGGGGCAAAGAGTCCGTAGGATTGTGCAATCCCAGGAAAGATAGGATCAATGTATTCTATGTTCTTCTTATCCTGGTTTTTTAATGCTAAGGTTTGCATAGGATTGCAACCTTACTCATGGAACGGTTTGCATGACTATCCAAAGCTGACATGAGCAATAGTGTGCAATATATTCACAGTTCCTCCTCTCCGTCCCAAGGAATTCAAGTGTTGCATGAAAATCACTGTATGAACTCCGAGAGCGACAGATATATTAAATATGAATAATAAAACAGCAGGTGGAGGGGCAAATCCAGATTGGGTCTGTGACAGCAGGGGAGAGGATTTCCTGTGTCTTTTTCCAGTTGAAAATCTCTCCTCCAAGCTGCTATTTGCACGCAAAATTTACTTATCTCCCAGAACAAATAGTAGCTTTGGTGTAGGGGCTATTTTTGTCAGGAAAACAGCATGTGGAATGGGCTAAAACTCCCATTTTTGTTTCACAGTCTTGATCTGATCTGGATTCCTTCCACACACCCATGTTTCTTCAAAATAACACCAACAACAATGCAATCACACATTTAATGTATTGCCTAGTTTTGCCCATAAAGGTTGAAGTAAGTTCAATTTAGCAAAAAAAAGTCCAGCTAGAGAAGGGGTAGTCAGTGGGATTCAGCTCCAGATGTTCCTGAACAGCAGCTCCTTTTCCTAGCCTGGCATGGTACTAAGATGTGTTGAAAGCCTCTAGCTCAGGGGCAGAGCACAATACGGTGAATGAAACTGAATGAAAGGAACATGAAGATACAGGCCTTGGTTCTACTACCTCAATGGACTTTGGTTGTGTAGATAAACAACACATATTCCATGAAATAAACACAAAGGACAGATCTCAACATGCTGACAAAGCAGGACAAATCCTGCTGGCGAATGGAACCAAATTTGCAAACCTTGTATCTTGTAGGAGTTGTATATTCTTAGAACGAAAGAAGAGGAGCCTGCTGGATCAGGCCAAAGGCCACAGGGCTCATTCAGATCCCCAGGGACACTCACGAGAACCTGAGGGCAAGTGCTCTTTCCCCACCTGTGAGTCCCAGCAACTGATATTGAAAGACATACTGCCTCTGGCAGTGGAAGTAGATTTTAGGTCTCTCAATGGCTGCTAGCCACAATGGCTATTTTCCAGGAATGTTTACAAATCTACAAGGTGTGATCAGAACGTTCGGTGAATGGTCACAGAAATTGGACAGTGTGAAATATTCGAAAATACAATCGACATCGGAAACCCACAAAATGCTCACAATTGTGTATGGAGATGAAGCTGTAACTCGAAAGACAGTGTATGAGTGGTTTAAGCATTTCTGTGAAGGGTGGCAAACCATCGAAGATGACCCTCATTCTGGCAGACCGTTGATGAGCAGAACGGAGGCAATTGTCGACAGAGTTCATGAGTTCTTGATGCGGGATCATTGTTTATCTATCCAAATGATGGCAGAAGAATTGCATATTCCGTGTGAAATCATTACTGAGGTTACTGAGTTTTCTCACCCTCCATATTTTCCCATTCTGGCACAACCAGATTTCTTTCTTTTTCCAAAACTGAAATTTGCACAGATTTTCCAACATTTCACACTTCCAAGCTGCTATGATGAGGGAACTGAAAGCAGTACAAAAAGAGGACTTCTCCAGAAATTTCCAACAGTTCTACGAACGTTGTCAATGGCGCATTGTATCAGAGGGGGCCTACTTTGAAGGCCTGTATGGAAGTGAGAGCTAGACCACAAAGAAGGCTGATCACCGGAGAATTGATGCTTTTGAATTGTGGTGCTGGAGGAGACTCTTGAGAGTTCCACGGACTGCAAGAAGATCAAACCTATCCATTCTTAAGGAAATCAACCCTGAGTGCTCACTGGAAGGACATACAGGTATTCTGAAGCTGAGGCTCCAGTACTTTGGCCACCTCATGAGAAGATGAGACACTCTGGAAAAAACTCTGATGTTGAGTAAGATTGAGGGCACAAGGAGAAGGGGATGACAGAGGACGAGATGATTGGACATTGTTATAGAAGCGACCAACATGAATTTGACGAAACTCCAGGAGGCAGTAGAAGACAGGAGTGCCTGGCGTACTCTGGTCCATGGGGTCATGAAGAGTCGGAAACGACTAATCAACTAAACAACAAAAGGCATGTATGTTCGAATATTTCTCACTGTCTGTCTGATTTCTATGACCATTCACCAAACTTTCTGGTCATACCTTGTATTAAGAATTCTTCATAAAAATGTTAGGATTAGTAGGTCTTTATATATAATGACAATCTGTTGCTGCATTGTAGCAGAGTATAGTTACTGGCACACTGAGTCCAAAGGCAAGATCACCTTTTCCTCTAATCTAATCTACAAGAGTGTGGTTTATGTGGCTCTCCTTTTATGTGAAACTAACAGATTTCCTCTTTCCTACCAGGGAACTATATTCTGTCTAGCACATGTGGTTATGACGAACACACTTGTTCACATGTGTGCTGCTAATTCCTTCCAGTTGATGTGTGTACAGTATTTGGATCCCAAGGCATAATTTGGATGATGCCAAAACCTCCATCCTCATTTCGAAACCACACATATCACTCAGAAGATTGGCCAATAACCTCAAGGGTTGGGTTTTTTTTCCTGGGGAACATTCTATTCTTAGATCACACATAAGCTTTACTACATTCATGGTAAGGAGCATCAAGCCTGTCATGCTGTATCTGTTAAGAGCCATGCAGAAATATTACTGAGGTGTAATTAGCTGCAGGTTAGTCATTAAAAGTGGGAAATTCCTGAAGCTGCCAAGTATTAACTAGCTTAATAGTAACAATTATGCCAGTTTCAATTATTTTGGAAAATCCCATGGTGTGAGCAGTTTTGCTAAAGGACCAGTATGCTAAATAGTAGATATTCTACAAATATGCAAAACAGAAGCTACCTGAGAACGCCAAATGTAGCTTGTTCAGCACCAGGTTACTAAAGTGAAGGAAAAGATCCTCATACCATCTGAATATGGGTCTTTATCCTTGAAGGAAACATTTTCTTCAACAACTTGATAAAACTGCCAACCAAATGTAGCTTCCATTGACTTATCTTTTTTTTTTTAAGCTATCACATCACCTTAGGATATGTTCTGCTTCCACTGACAAGAGACAGCAGCTTCTGAATACCAGCTGATGGAGGAGGGAAGACTGCTGCTATGCTCAGGTCCTGCTTACATGCTTCCCATAAGTATCCACTTGACCACTGTGAGTACAGGATGCTGAAACTTGATGGCCCCTGGACTGATGCAACAGGCTTCTATTATGCTCTTAGGTTATCACCTAAAAGTAACCTCCACCTTTGTTAGCGCCAACAGTATTTAGCTTCTGAAGAGCCCAAAAGCTTGCACACTTCAGAGCCCCCCTCCTGACTACTGTTTTTTTTGTTTGTTTAAGGGGGAAGGGGTATTTTGCAACATGTCATTGACACAATAATCGTGTCTTCGTGGTGGATTTTGACTGGAGCATCCACAAACATTCTGCTTCATTAGTTGTGCTAGGGTGGTCCCCCAGCGTTAATGCATTATTGCTGTCTGGAGATGAACTCTTGCGCTATAGAACAACAAGCGTGGAAAAACACTGCCGCCACCAAAACATTTGGGATATAAAAAGCTACAGGATTTTAGCAGAAAGTTACGGGACATGCACTGATTAACAACAACAACCTATTAAAGGTATTGCCCTAATGTGGATTTGGGGATATTTCATTAGCTTTCAGACTGTATGTCTAGGGATGTCTGATAATTCCAATGAAAGCAGACTTTACTGATGTTTGCTTATTCATCCCATGTCCAGAACAGAAATCAGTTCAGCTAATATGATCAGTATTTGCTGTCCTCTTTGTTTTCAGTCCACATATGAAGCCTAATTGATTAGCATTACATTTCCTTTCTATTGAAATGAATGGGGTAGAATAATGTAATGACAATGCAATTTGCACAATGTACATAATTTACTCCATAAACTACGCAAGTTACATTATTTCACCACCACAGACAGTGAGACATATAACATTGTTTTTGGTGAAAGGTGAACTGCAGTGGAATGGAAACAGCAGAGCATGTAATAAACACAGGGCAGGATGGAAAATTATGCCCTTCTTACATCCCTAGTTATGTCACATCTGATACAAACTCAGACGCAGCATTGAAGGAAGTTGATGGAACAAGCCTCCTTCAATGCAAAAAGAAATGTGACAAGAAGAATCAGATGAGGAGCCGTATCTCAGACTCTGAGCTCATCCATTACAGCTGGGAGGTAGAGGCTTGCTAAGCAGCTCCTACCTCTACCCTAGGATATACCCACTGTATTCTTTGTAAAAGGTAACTTTATTCTTGTAACCAGGTGTGGCCTAGTTCAGTCCACTGGCATATGTCTTATTGTGGGTGTGGGTGCAATACATATAGACTATGAAAATGACCATAGTTTAAATACATATTAACTCTATAAACACAAGATCACCAACAATCCACACCTACACAGTGTCAGCATTTTCATGCTTTACCACTCAGCATTGCACAGCTTGCAAGCTGCTACAGTTTTGACTGGTTATATATTTCTTCTTTACTTAACTTTTGATAGTTTCCATGGGATAACAAGA